AACCCTAAGTCCCTAAATCCCTAAACTGCTACTGAGGTTTGGAGACAGTAGGAGGCTGAGCCCAGCACCGAGGTCCCATAGTGTGTCCTCAGCACACCACCGCAGGAGGGCTTTTTAAAGCTTAAGGTAGGAGCCTCAATAATTATCTGTACTATTTTTTTTTGTTTGGGAGGGGGGTTTTATTAGACTTATCGTAATAGACCCCCGAAGCATTCATAGACCCCCAAACACCTATTCTAATTATTAAGGTCCCTACATTCGGGTTTACGGCTTAGCATGTGTCTCCCAGACCCTGAAGATTCGACTGGTGCGCGGAGAACCCAACTGGCGCCTTCATTGATTCAGGAATATTCAGAAAACCCAGATGGGGGTTCCTTGTTACGACTTACCCAGACCCCCGCTATAAACTACCCCTTAGTAGCATAGGGTCTCAAATTAGGGGATCTACTTTTCAGATCCAGGTTGGGCCTTGAAAGCCTCTGAAAAATCAGCCCTAAACCCTAAACCCTAAACCCTAAACCCTAAAATCAGCCCTATGACTCCAGACCAAGTGTCCCAAAGGCCTACCTACGAGGGGTTTCGTCGACCCAAATCTAAACGCCAGGTAGGCCCTGGCGCCCAATGTAGGGTCCTTAATAATCAGAATAGGGTTTTGGGGGCCCATTATACTATACTTTTAACAAGGAACCCCCAAAATAGTATAGGTAATTAATTATTTAGACCCCTTGTAGTAACCCTCAAATCCTTTCTTGAACCCTTACAGAACCCTATTCCCTAAACCCAGACCCTGAACCCCTTCGAACACCTCTTAAAAACCAAAACAGCTGTCCAACACCTAAACACCAAGGACTAAACAAAATCGAAAGCCCTTTCAAAGCCGAATCGACTCTCGAACGCCGATTAAACACCCAAAAGATCGGCTTCTGAAGACCCCCCCCAAAACAACCCTCCAGCACCTCCTGAACACCACCCTCGAACACCCGTCAAACACAAAAAATAAAGCAACCTTGTTCAAGGCCCTCCCCTTCTTGTGCCAGTAAACCCTAAACCCTAAACCGTAAACCCTAAAACCTAAACCCTAAACCCTTAACCCTAAACCCTTAAACCCTAAACCCCTAAACCCTACCAGGTTGCTGGAGCGTGCAAAGGTTCCTCCAGCTCCTCGACCGGCTTGGGAAGGTTGCAAAATTGGGACCAACGGGGTGTAGGGTTTAGGGCGCCATAGGGGCTCAAAAAAAGGGTTTAGGGCTAAACCTACTCTAAACCCTAAACCCTAAACCCTAATCCCTCAACCCTAAACCCTAAACCCTAAACCCTAAACCCCAAACCCTAAACTCTAATCCCTAAACCCTAAACCCTAAACCCTAAACACCCTAAACCCTGAACCCTAAACCCTGAACCTAAGTGTTTAGGGCTTCGGCCGGGCTCAGGGGTTTTTTGTTCGAAGTGCCACGGCCTTTAACGGGTTTAGGGTTTAGGGTTTAGGGTTTAGGGTTTGGGGCTTAGGGTTTAGGGTTTAGGGTTTAGGGTTTGGGGCCTAAGGGTTCAGTGTTAAGGACTTAGGCTGGGCTTGGGCTTGGGGTTTAGGGTTTAGGGTTTAGGGTTTAGGGTTTAGGGTTTAGGGTTTAGGGTTTAGGAGTTTTGGGGCTTAG